TTTGTTTGTTTGTTTGTTTGTTTGTTTGTTTGTTTGTTTGTTTGTTTGTTTGTTTGTTTGTGATGTTTGTTTGTTTGTTTGTTTGTTCGCCTTCTTAAGGTGGATTTTATATCGTTTAATTCCTTTCAATTTGATAATAACTTACCATGTTTGAGTCTAAAAAATATTGTGAAAGATAAGAAGATTCGCAAGGATACCCTTTAAACCTTTGTGTGAGTAACTATGAGGAAGATATCGTTCTTTTTCTTACTTTAAAAAGTGTTAAATTCTCAAAATAATCAATTTTAGCTAGAAAAAAAGCAAAGATATCTCCTTCATCAATCATCCTTTGACAATATGAAGGTTTAAAGGTACCATTGTAAATCGGACAGAACAATTCATTTTTAGGAACCTTCCCTGTCTGGCTGAACACTGTTCAGGAACTGCACTTTGCTGCTCCTCTCCTTCTAGCTGCTAAGTTTGCGCTAGCCTGGCCGGTCACCTTCCACCTGTTCAACGGTATGCGGCATCTAGCCTGGGACATGGGACACGGATTCAAGATCCCAGATCTATACAAGACCGGATACACAGTTCTAGGCTTATCCGTCCTCACCGCGCTCATGCTGGCAGCTCTGTAAACAACATGGAGCCGCTAACTTATGAATCCTGGAGTTTAACCATATATTTATTCCCGCAGACTGAATTAATGAATTGAATGAATTATTTCCACAACTCGTGCTTGGTATAAGACCAAATAAATTCTGTAAATATTAAATAAAATATTGAAATTTTAAATTTCATTATTTATAAAAATTATTTTTCTTTCAGATAGGAATGTTAAAATGTGAAAAACAGTGCTTAGCGGTCCGTTTCAGTTTGATGCGGACCCGGATCCTGGATCCGCCCTGAAAAATAATGTATCCGGATCTGGTTCCAAAACCGGATCTGTGCCTGAGTTCATGTCTTCAAGATTTACTGATTTTATTTAACAATTATAAAATTTCAACATTTATTTCTCTCTTTTTTCGCTTAATTGTATGCTGAACAATGTGAACATGGTTGAACAGTCAGAGGTTAGGAAGTTCCTATAATCCCTCATTTCTTACCAGTTGAGATTTGTGCTTTGATCAAAAAGTTTTTTTTGGTAACAGATTTTTGATGAAATTTTGATCCTGGGATCAGGATCCAGGAAGTCAAAACGTCCTGGATCCTAGGCACTCCCATTAAAAGCTAGAAAAAAGGATTCATACAGCTCTGCAATTTCAAGCGACGCTTCATGCCTCAAATTTTGATTGGAGAACTTGAGAGAGGGAATGTTCTTAGCTTGGTTTTGAGATTCTGAGTTGAGTGGGTCGACTCTAATATTGAAAATTTAGTTTTTGGTAAAATCGTTTAAGTGCGGGTAAACGGCGGAAGTAACTTCTTGTAACCTTGGGTTCCCAAGCTAGTTCATTAATATTCTTTTTCAACTACAAAGCTGAGATTTTACAGATACTCCGTCACATTTTACTATTCAGTTTGGACCCACCTAACCAGGGTAGGTTGTTTTATCTTATACCGTCGTCTGAGCAAACAGTATAAAGACATTCTTGTTTTTTATTTTTTGATGATAATTTTCTGTTTTGGATTCTAAGTTAATTGTCACTTACGGATTTTTTCAGCAAAACAAAAAAAAAATATAACAGAGACTTTTTAAAGAAAACCACATATTTTTTAATGTAGTCTACAAATTACATTCAATTATATTTAAGGGCTGATTCGAATTTCTCATTAAGACAATAAGATTTATTTTGTTCAATTATAAATTACAATTCTGTTTTTAAATTTGTTTTAATTAAATTTTTCAATCATTTCTTGCAAGGATTGAATCACATGCAGGATTCGATTTTTTTAGAAGTTACTTTTGCAGTAAAGAAATCTCAAATTGAGTAAACAATATCGAAAGAATAAAACTATTTAACTGTAACGGGACGGGGAGAGGAATAATTAAAAAATTTGTTAATCTGCAAGTATTTTTTAACTTTTATCAAAAAGTTTTTGTTTTTTTTCATTCTTAACATAGTAAGAAATATAAGAAGTGAAAAATTTTAAAATGACAATTCCGTATTTTGTTTATATATTTAAAACATGCCCCAATAACATGTCCTATTTGAAACAATTCTTATCAAGCAACATTTAAATTAATTTTAGGAATTAGACACTTTTTTCAACTTAGACCCCATACCGACTTTTTTTTTGGTTATTAAAAGTTTCAGAGACGAAGGAACAGTGTGCATGTATTGTTAAAAAAACAATCTCATTTTGAAGAAGAAGAGATTGAGTAACTTGATACATTGCTTCATTATTCAACTCTTGAACTCAGTTTAAACTGATATACTGTGCATACACATCAAATATAGATTCACATTGTTTATAAACAAAAAGAAATTTAAGAAATTATATTCTTGTGTAAAGTGAATCAAAAACAATAAACTTTCAGGATCACAGTTCTCGAGTTAATACTTTAAAATAGTCTTGAAGGAAAATGTAATTTCATGTACCATTTATTTAATTGTCGCTGCTGCATTAGTCCGTAAGACCTGCAATTAAAAAATGTCAATTTGTTCATAAAAAAGTTATGTCCGATATTTTTGTTGCGACAAAGTGTGAATCGGGTATGGACCTTTTTATATGAAGAGTCACTTGAAGTTACGATAAAATATACATTGACAGTATATTTTATATGCTTTTGGTTTACCCAAGGGAGGAGGGTCCCGGGCCCAAGGGGGGAGGGTCCCGGGCCCAAAGAATCCCAAAGGAAAGTTGGAATTTACTATAATACTAAAATTTGTACAATTTTGAAATTATCGTTTAAAAAAACCTTTTAAAAAAATTGTTAAAATTATGCTGTGTATAATCGTGTGGAAAACACACACAATTGTTTCGTTGCAATTTATCAAAAAAATTAGATTTTTTCATTTTAAGTTTAAGAATAGAAGATATTTTAATTTTGACCAATTTCAGACGTGAAAATGTTGATTCCATGAGTTTGATTGAATCCTACGAAGATGGATAGGATCGCCCGTATCCGGAGGAAACAGGAGAACCATGAAACCCAACCTTGCTCCGAGTTACCAGAGACCGATGTGAGTTTCTTTGTATCCATTAAACGTCAAAACGGCAGAACCGATCCGGCCCACTTTTTGCGGTAAAACAAATGTTTGTTTTTTTTTTGTTTTTTTTTAATTTTGGAATTCCGTCATTATTGCCAGAAAAATCAGCGAAAATTCTTACATTTATATTCTTAAGGAAAAAAGGTAAGTGACAATATGATATTTATATGTCTTAAGAAAACATTAAGATGTTTCGGTTAGGACGTATTTAATATTTATATATTTAGGAAAGAATAAAGATGGTTAGGTTAGGACGTATCTAATATTTATATATTTAGGAAAGGATAAAGATGATTAGGTTAGGACGTATCTAATATTTATATATTTAGGAAAAGATAAAGTAGGACGTATCTAATATTTATATATTTAGGAAAAGATAAAGATAGTTCGGTTAGGACGTATCTAATATTTATATATTTAGGAAAGGATAAAGATGATTAGGTTAGGACGTATCTAATATTTATATATTTAGGAAAAGATAAAGATGGTTAGGTTGGGACGTATCTAATATTCATATTTTTAGGAAAGGATAAAGATGGTTAGGTTAGGACGTATCTTTTTTCCCTACCGGGTTCTTCTTCTGTTCTCCTTCATCATCTGTGCCCTTCAGGTTTCTTAGTTTAAGATTGTTATTGTTGTTGTTGTTGTCGTTGTTGTTCTTACTACTGATTTTGTTGTTATTGCTATTGTTGTTTTTACTGTTGTTATTGTTGTTGTTGCTGTTTCTGTTGTTGTTTCTGTTGTTGTTGTTATCGTTATTACTATTGTTGTTGTGGTTACTATTGTTGTTTTTGTTACTGTTGTTGTTGTTGCTATTGTTGTTATTACTGTTCTTTTTATTGTTCTTGTTGTTAATGTTGTTGTTGTTCCTATTGTTCTTGTTATTATTATTGTTCTTGTTATTCTTGTTATTGTGCTTGTTATTGTTATTGCTTAGTGTTATTGTTAATGTTTTTATTCTTATTTTTATTATTGTTTTTTCGAAATTTTAATATTGACACTGTTAATTTTTGGACTTTTTATTATTAATACTTGTAATAAAAATAATATATTCTTCAAATCGTTGATTACTTCTTTTAATTCTTATTTTAAAAATTAATCTTTTAGAATTCCAGCTTTATCACCTAGGTTTAAACTCTGAATTTTATTCATTTCTAACATATTTTTCATTTTATTAGTTACGTTATAATTTTATTTATTATTTGGAAACTTATCGAAAGGGGATACTTGGTTTGGTTTGATTTCAAGATCACATTATGAAACGCTAATCACCCCCCTACCCCTTATCTAATATAACTTGAGTTTAAAAAATAAAATCGAAACTCAGAATGAAATGACAACTTTTGAGTTTAACTTGTCCATTCAAAAGATACTGGACATCAAAACTTTTGAATCAAACCTAGGTGGATTATTTATATGTGTTATGATCATTTTGTTGATTTAAAAGTTTTGTACTCCTCTCGACTCAGATTGCACCAATTTAATCCGATTTCCGGCTTCCAGATTTGAACTTATCAAATATTTTTTGCATTTACAAATTGTATTTGTAGGGTTATATATTTTCTCAAAATTATTTTTTTACACCATCCCCCCTCCCCCTCTGAAATTAGGTATGTTTGCCCGGAGCCGCCAACATTTTTAGGGTTTCATTCGCTGTTCTGGGTAAAATAAATGATTTTTTGTAAAAAAAATGAAAAAAGATGTATAAACTTACCTTTTGATGTCAATTTTTTTATTTTTAACACCCCAGATTTTAAAGCATCATGGGAAGAGGGGGTGCAGTGTTAATTCTCAAATATATGCACCCCTGTCTGTGTATCATATTATATTAATCTTATTTTAGAAAAACTTATTTTTCAGGTTTTCATGGGATTTTCTTTCTTCAATAATACTAAAGATGAAGAAATAAAACTACATAATTCCCGATCATCCCTGCCCAGTCCATCTCAAAGTGTATTAGGTACATTCATTTTTTTTCTCGGGGGGAGGGGTGACTTTCTGGATCTTTTAAAACGATTTAATAATCCATCAATCAATAAGGTTGATCTCGAAACGGAGATTTAATAGCAATTTTTTATCAAGAAGATTTTTTTTAATAAACCAGGCTTTTAAGACGCTTCGACATTTTTCCCAAGCAAGTTTTTTTTTAATTTTCCCGTTCAGAAACCTTCCTGGGGTCGATTTGAGTTCATAAACCTTCCTGGGGTCGATTTGAGTTCATAAACCTTCCTGGGGTCGATTTGAGGTGCCACAAAAAAGTTTGACTTAATCGGTTCAACCCTTTATTACGTTTAGTAGATACAGGGTTCAACCCTTTATTACGTTTATTAGATACAGAAAGACGAGCAAAGTATATATTAAGATGCCAATTCGAAGGGAGAGATTCAAATTTTGGTTTTTTTTTTCACATTTTACTTGGGTCGTTCTTTGTCAGGTGGGGCGTAATTATACAGTACACCCTGTTGACAAAATATTAAAAGATTGAAAATTGTATTCAGGTTCTCCTTCTTCAGAAAACGTCGCATTTTTACGCCTTAAAGGGACTGTAAACGTATTTTCAGGTGTCACTCTATTTATAGAGTAACATGTTCGATTCACACCAGTACTCTTTAAACGTTGTCTGATCAAACATGAATGAGATATCCCTATTTTCAATTGTGGTTTCTTTATTAAAGGGACTTACGAGAATTTAACACTTTTTAAGAAAGAAAAACAACGATATCAACCTCATTGTTGTGAATTGGACATTCTACGTTTTAAATGGAGGGTCACTTGAAATTAAAATTACAGTCCCTTTAAGGTCTTGTCTAACATGATGATATTGTATTGTAGATGATAACTACAAGTGCAATGTGTCTACAGAAACTAAGATCTTGTCTAACATAATGATATTGTATTGTAGATGATAACTACAAGTGCAATGTGTCTACTGAAACTAAGATATTGTCTAACATGATAATATTGTATTATAGATGATATCTACTACTACTAGTGCAATGTGTCTACAGAAACTAAGATATTGTCTAACATAATGATATTGTATTGTAGATGATAACTACAGGTGCAATGTGTCTACAGAAACTAAGATCTTGTCTAACATAATGATATTGTATTGAAGATGATAACTACAAGTGCAATGTGTCTACTGAAACTAAGATCTTGTCTAACATGATGATATTGTATTGTAGATGATAACTACAAGTGCAATGTGTCTACTGAAACTAAGATATTGTCTAACATGATGATATTGTATTGTAGATGATAACTACAAGTGCAATGTGTCTACAGAAACTAAGAGTGCCTTGAAGAGAGCTAAGACGGAGCAGTGCAGGACGGAGATCCTAGATTTAGCTTGTAGAGTTGAGAGTGGAACCTTCTTCCCGTCCTCATTACCTCGGTAGGTATTCATCTTCCCATCCTTATCATTTATCTTCCCGTCCTTCTTATTCCTCTTCCCGGCCTTCTTATTCCTCTTCCCGACCTTCTTATTCCTCGTCCCGTCCTTATCATTCATTTTCCCGTCCTTCTTATTCATCTTCCCGTCCTTTTTATTCATCTTCCCGTCCTTCTTATTCATCTTCACGCCCTTAAATTCATCTTCCCGTCCTTTCATCTACCCGTCCTTATCATTTATCTCCCCGTCCTTTCATCTACCCGTCCGTATTATTTTCACGGCTATTTTTTATCTTTCCGTCCTCCTTGTTCATCATTCCGTCCTCATTATTCTGTTTTCGGCCTCGCTATTCATCTTCCCGTCCTCTTATTCATCTTCCCGTCCTCTTATTCATCTTCCCGTCTTTTCATCTACCCGCCCTTTCATTTACCCGTCCTTTCATCTACCCGTCCTTTCATCTGCCCGTCCTTTCATCTACCCGTCCTTTCATCTACCCGTCCTTTCATCTACCCGTCCTTTCATCTTCCCATCTTTATCATTCATTTTCCCGGCTTTATTATTTATCTTTCCGTCTTCCTTGTTCATCTTCCCGTCCTCATTATTCATCTTCCCGTCCTCGTTATTCATCTTCCCGTCAGTCTTTCATTCTTTTTCTAAATCGACGAAATCTCGAACCCCCCCCCTCCTGAGTGGTATTAGTACTGTTAAATTGAACTAAATAAACACCAAGCTCACCATGAAGTGAGTATATATTGAGTTTAACTGAAGTGGATTTAATTTCAAATCTGTCAGATTCAATCATATAATATATGTGTATAGTTGTATACAGACTTCAAAGCAAGGGTAGGAGAAACCAAATTATATTTTGGTATTCAATTGACACCCCAGGTAGAGATATGGGGATGAATTAGAGTATTTTTTCATTCAGAAATGCATTTTTAGAATTTTTGTATGAAAGATTAACTGCATTATATTTTGAGTATTAAGGATCTCTTTGTTCTTTTTTAGTATTTTGTACACAAGTATAGCTGAACGAAGGTTTAGTTTAAGAATTATATCTTCAATTTTTGTGATATCTCTTCTGATCCAAGTATAGATAGAAGAAGGTTGGGTTTTATAATTATTTTTTCAATATAGGTTCTGTAAAATCATTTCTGATCCAAGTATAGATAGAAGAAGGTCGGGTTTAAGAATGATATCTCTATGTACTGTGATATCTCTTCTGATCCAAGTATAGATAGGAGAAGGTTTGGTTTAAGAATGATATCTCTATGTACTGTGATATCTCTTCTGATCCAAGTATAGATAGGAGAAGGTTTGGTTTAAGAATGATATCTCTATGTACTGTGATATCTCTTCTGATACAAGTATAGATAGATGAAGGTTGGGTTTAAGAATGATATCTCTAGGTTCTTTTATTTCTCTCCTGATCCAAGTATAGATAGAAGAAGGTTGTGTTTCTCTATGTACTGTGATATCTCTTCTGATCCAAGTATATATATAGATGAAGGTCGGGTTTAAGAATGATATATCTATGTACTGTGATATCCCTTCTGATACAAGTATAGATAGAAGAAGGTTGTGTTTAAGAATGATATCTCTATGTACTGTGATATCTCTTCTGATACAAGTATAGATAGATGAAGGTTGGGTTTAAGAATGATATATCTATGTACTGTGATATCTCTTCTGATCCAAGTATAGATAGAAGAAGTTTGGGTTTAAGAATGATATCTCTATGTACTGTGATATCTCTTCTGATCCAAGTATAGATAGAAGAAGGTTGGGTTTAAGAATGATATCTCTATGTACTGTGACATCACTTCTGATCCAAGTATATATAGAAGAAGGTTGGGTTTAAGAATGATGTACTATGTACTGTAATATCTCTTCTTATCCAAGTATATATAGAAGAAGGTTGGGTTTAAAAATGACATCTCTAGGTTCTGTGATATCTCTTCGGATACAAGTATAGATAGAAGAAGGTTGGGTTTTAGATTGATAAATCCACGTTTTGTAATATCCCTTCTGAAAGAAGGGAATTATATCTCTAGGTCTAAGCTTCAAGAATAATTTTTCTAGGTACTGTGATATCCCTTCTGATCTAAGTATAGCAGGGAGAAGGTTTAAGAACAATATCTTTAGTTTCTAGGCTTCAAGAATAGATTCTCTAAGTACTGTGATATCCCTTCTGATCCAAGTATAGATAGAAGAAGGTTAGGTTTATAAATGATTTATCTAGGTACTGTGATATTCCATCTGATCCAAGTATAGCTGGGAGAAGGTTGGGTTGCTTCAAGGATAATTTCTCTACCCGGATACTTGATGGAAACCTGGGGAAACTGAACCAGGATAACTCTCCAAGTAATTGTTTAAGGTAATCTATATTTATTCATAATTGGAGTTATTTTCTTTGATCAAATGTTATTTTTTGCGGCTTTTATCTCGGCATTCAGGAAGTTCTGATCGTTTTCTGTCTAATTCTCAAATGTATTTTTTGTCAAAAGTTTAAAGGGTATCGTTGTGAGTCGGGCCCTGTTAGAATCGAGTATATTTTATGGCTGTTGTGTTGTCTGGGAACAAATGCTGATTAAGTAGATCTTGCTGGATCAGCATTTTGTGGATTTCTGAATAAATGTTTCTAGATTTTCTATTGTTAGATAAATTCACTAGATCAGCTTTTCTAACAAAAAACTCGACGTGTTCTTTTCAATCTCTTATCTTGAAGTAAGAGACACTTTTCAAAATATTATTAACAAGCTGGGGAACCCAGCTTTGTCTGGAACCCACTGAATTTATAATCTTGAAACCAAGCTAAAAAACGTTTCCGTAGCTCTGTCGAGTTCCCAATTAAAATTAGGTTCATGAGTTATGATCGGACACTAGCTTGAGAACCCAGCGTTGCATAGGGGAGTCATAGTTAGTACCGCCGATTTACCCGCGCTTTGTCGTAAATTACGATTTTAGCTATTTTTTTCCGATAAAAGTAGACCCACTCAACTTAGAATCTCAAAACCAAACTAAGAACATCCCTGTGGCTCTCCCGAGTTCCCCAATCAAAATTTTAGGCAAATCGGTCAAGGGGTTCTAAAGTCAAAATCAGACATACAAGCAAGCAAAAGGACAAAGAGATTACTACTTTATATAGATAGATGGTTTGTCTAAATATTTTTGTGTAGGTTCTGCACAAAATCTGGATATATGTTTGCTGGAACCCAGTTTGGTGTAGAATGTTTTTGTGGAAACACATCTCCGAAACCTGAATTCAAAATTGTGGATTCAGCTTGTAACAAAACGTGTTCAGGTATTTACTATAACTTCTAAAACTGAATCCAAACTTGTGGATTCAGCTTGTAACAAAACGTGTTCAGGTATTTACTATATCTCTTCTAAAACTGAATCCAAACTTGTGGATTCAGCTTGTAACAAAACGTGTTTAGGTATTTACTATATCTCTCCTAAAACTGAATCCAAACTTGTGGATTCAGCTTGTAACAAAACGTGTTCATGTATTTTACTATCTCTCTTCTAAACCTGAATTCAAACTTGTTGATTCAGCTTGTAACAAAACGTGTTCAGGTATTTACTATATCTCCCCTAAATCTGAATCCAACATTTTGGATTCAGTTTGAAATAGACCTTTTCTAAACTGAATCTTTACAGGTTGATTCAGTTTGATAGAAAGCTTAGTTAAATTTGAACAACTTTTGAAAAGTTAAAGTTTGATTTTTTTTCAGGCGACCAGAGTAAAAATTGCGGTGGCTACCTAACTATGGATATTTACCACACCGGCCTCCAGCCTCCGAAAGTTACCAACCTAGCCTCGGTTGAAGCCTCCGAAACTCCGGCAAAAGTTGTCTTCCTTCTCACGCTGAACGGACGGGCCCTTAGACAGGTTCTTCGCTTGATCCGGGTCCTCAACGGACCAGGATCCTACTTCTACATCCACATTGACTCCAGGCAGGAGTATCTGTACCGGGAGCTGGACGAATTATCTAGAACGATGCCGAATCTGAAGATGGTTCGGAGAAGGTTTGCGTCCATGTGGGGCGGGGTGTCTCTACTCACGATGCTGCTCTCGTCTATCCAGGAGCTGTTGGAGATCCAGGACTGGGATTGGGACTTTGTATTGAACCTCTCGGAGTCAGACTATCCAGTCAAACGGAGGTTGGTTTTTATAGTATTAAATCAAGTCCAAAATATCATCGAAAATTATTATGATTTTTAACTCGTGTTATGAATTAAGTTGATCGGTGGTCAAAACTTTTAAATCCTTAATCTGTGTCTTTAGCGGTGAGACGATAATCCCTTTAATTTAAAAGTTTACACAATGGATTTTTAGTCAAGTTTCTGATGCTAAATATTCGCTTAGTCTCAATAAATTTTTGAATTTGATATTTTAGAGAGGAACTGTTCCAGTTCTTGTCCTCTAACAAGGACAAGAACTTTCTCAAGTCCCACGGGAGGAACGGACCGTCCTTTATCAAGAAACAAGGACTGGACAAGACCTTCTTCCAGTGTGAGGATCACATGTGGAGGATTGGATCCAGGAATCTTCCAGAAGGGATCCAGGTAGGATATAAGATTAATCCATATACAGGGTTACCCACAAAGGATGAGACTTTAATACGACCTATAACTTAAAGAATATGAAAGTTATTTTTTTTTTTGTCTTTTTAATGATATATTTAATGATTTAGGCATAAGAGGGGAAAAGGTATAAGAAAATAGACCGCGTGAATTATGTGTAAAGTCGTCTCTGAAGTCTCATCCTTTGCGGGCAACCCTGTACCTTATTTAGTTTAATCCCTATCTATAGAACATGATGTCGTAGCTACTTGATATTTGAAACTATAAACCCTGTACCATATTTAGTTTAATGCCAGTCTATAGAACATGATGTCGTAGCTACTTGATATTTGAAACTATAAACCCTGTACCTTATTTAGTTTAATCCCGCCAGTCTATAGAACATGATGTCGTAGCTACTTGATATTTGAAACTATAAACCCTGTACCTTATTTAGTTTAATCCCTATCTATAGAACATGATGTCGTAGCTACTTGATATTTGAAACTATAAACTCTGTCTTATCAAAAAGTCAACGTTTCAAAATCAAAAGGTTTACTCAATCGGGATGCAAAGATATAGGGATTAGAAAAGTAGAGTTTGTGCCGAGTCGTTAACTTTTAGATTGACAAAATGAGATGAATCATTTTGGGGAGATTACCCCTACCCTCATTAGTCCATCCAAATGTTCTCAGCTCCGGAAAATTGTATCCAATTAAGAACTGAACTTTTAAAAAAATGACGTTGGAAAAAGCTTTTTTGAAAGTGCTTTAAGGACCTTTCGTTTTAATTGCAATTGACCATCCATTCGGTACCCATTAAACCTTTTTCTGATCAATAATGTGGTATTGTTTTTTTTATACCTTAAAAGTGTTTAACTCAATTTCCTCCATTGTTTCTGTAGCAAAAATCCGCAGGGGACTTTAATAGAGAAACCACAATTAAACATGATCAATTTTCAAAGTTAAAAACATGTACATTTCATTCGACCTTGATCTTCCAACGTATTTAAGGGTACCGTTGTGAATTGGATAAGCCACTATAAAAATGGAGGATCACTTGAAAATACATGATGTTTGTAGATAGACGGAGGGTCGGATTGGATTTGTCTGAACCGTGAATTCTCTTCCTACGTAGTAAACTCCGAGGACGAATTGATCTCCGGACTCAAACTGGTTTTTAACTTTACTCTGCTTCCTGCTGAGACATTCTTCCATACGGCTCTTCAAAACTCAAGGTGTTTTTTATACAAGTTTTTGCTTGGTTGTCATCCGGGGTTTTTGGTTTAATTATGGTCATTTGGATTTTTGCATCATGGCCATTGGAATCTGGTTGTTTTATGAACATTTGTATTTTTTGATTAATAGTCATTTCCATTTTTTCTTAATGCTCATTTCCATTTTTTTTCTTAATGGTCATTTTCATTTTTTTATTAATGGTCATTTGCATTTTTTTCTTAATGGTCATATACATATTTTTCTTAATGGTCATATACATATTTTTCTTAAAGATCATTTACATTTTTTTCTGAATGGTCATTTGCATTTTTTTCTGAATGGTCATTTACATATTTTCTTAGTGGTCATTTGCATTTTTTTTCTTAGTGGTCATTTACATATTTTTCTTAATGGTCATTTGCATTTTTTAATCATGGTCATTTTAACCTGTTTGCTTTACAGTCAATTGGATTTGATTTTGGTTTATGGTCATATGTATATTTTGTATCATGGTCGTTTGGACCTTTTTGTTTTATGGTTTTTTTGGAGTTGACCCCCCCCCCCTCTTCCTCATCGTACAGTGTTTACTGTATACTCCTTGTAATCTATAGTGACACACATAAAACTGTGGACTAGGAGGACCACATTTAATTAATTTTATGTGAAATTGATGTTATAAAGCAAATCATTTTACCCATAAGCTTGAAAATCATGTTAAATAAAAGAAGTCTGTGTTTTACTGTACAATGTTTCATGTTCATTTAAATATTGAAAAACACAGATTGAGTCTAAAAGTCGTCTTTGTCCCAATGTATATATTTGTTCTGTGTAGATTCTGTAGCTCTGGAGTGAACAACAACTTGCATCTGACAAACTGGAGAAGAAAGCTGGGATGTAAATGTCAATATAAACATATCGTGGATTGGTGTGGGTGCAGTCCTAACGATTTTATCAGGGAGCATTTACAGATAGATTTATTACAACATTTACAGATATATTTTTACAACATTTACAGATAGATTTATTACAATATTCACAGATAGATTTATTACAACATTTACAGAAGATTTATTACAAAAATAATATTAACTGCTTCTGAATAATTTAAGGATGGCCTTTGCAAGCTTTTTTTTTTTACAATTCTTGAAAATTATAAAAACTCCAAATCTGTAAACTTGTAGCGAGGACCAGGAGAAGTTGAAAGCAACCCAACCCCGACAGATATTTTTTGCCAGGAAGTTTGAACCAATAATCCATCATGAGATTATAAACTGGGTGGATGACTGGTTGGATATCCAGGTTCCTGGAGAACCAGAGGAGCGGAACCACTACTGGCAAAACCTGTTTCATCACAAGGACGTGGCGAGCAACCACCCGGAGCAGTTCATCCTGTTGATCGAGTTTCTGGCGCGGGATTACGTTCTTTCTAGTCCTGGTTTGAAGGAGTTTAAACTTCTCCGGGTACTGGAGGTTACTTTGCACAAATACAAGGATGAAATTAAGGATTTTTTGCTTCTATCAGAGCTTCAAAATACTAAAGATGAATCCGTCCTTGTTCTGGAAATAAAAGTTGATTTACTCGATGGAAACTTAGACGAAAATAAACTAGTCTCTTCAAAACCAAAGATAGTGTCTGTGAGTGTTGGAACGGATTATGACCCGAAAGAACGGGTTTTTAGAAATTTTCTCAGAAACTACGGATCTAGAAGCGAGATGTCTCTCCGGGTTGAGTTTGAGCCTGGACAGGAGAAGGAGAGGATTGAGTTTGGTTGGTTCAATCCCTTGGGACTCCTTTCTGCTGTTACTCGTGCAAAAACCAATGAATCCCAGGGTTTAGAGAATGTTATCCCCAACCTGGATAAACCTCTCCTGCCCGGAGTATGGACTGTAGTTGGAGTAAACCGGGCGAGATTGATTAGCTCCAACCAGTTCTTGATCCTACCCGGAGCAGAACTGAACCAGACAACTCCGAACACGGATCCGATTCAGAGCCATGTCTCTCAGTACTACAAAATGGACCCGGAGAAAACAATTTCTGTTAAAAATGATCTGAACACGTTGAACCTGGAGTCTAGGGATGCCTGGATGCAAAAATACTCCGCCGGCTTTTACAAGGTGGAACACGTATGTAGTCTCCAACCCGGGGCAGGGTTCCAACCCGGGGTAGGGTTCGAACCTTGCGGAGAAACTTCATGGAGCTCCCGAAAACAGGACTTATCCATTCTTATTTAGATATTCCACTGTCAGACAATAATACAAATCAAATTTGTCATTTCTGATCCGAACTTGCAATGTATGCTGATGGCAGCCTTGGACGTTTTTTCGACAATTAAGTTGATTCCGTGATCTTATGCGGCCTGGAAACTAATATTAAAATCTAAAGATCGCTCTAAAAGCTTTAAAAAAATAATCTTTAAGCTATAATAATGGCCGCCTGCTTATCAATTTCTACGAAAGTAATGCCGCATATAGCCATTAGTCGCTTTGTTCCTTTATTTCTTTAGTTTTACCACTCAGTTCATTCAGTACACCAATTGACTAAAGGCCGAAACTGGTTTATGTAGTAGCACTTAGCTTTACCGATCAGAGGCGTAAATTTTTTAATTTAGGGCTTGAAAGGGACTGTAAGCGTAATTTTCTAGTGACCCTACTTACAAAAATGTCTGATTTACAACGGTAACCTATAAACCTTTTCAGTTCAGTGAGTACATAATTTTATCGAAAACCGCTTGAATTCCTATAAAACCTGGTTCACGCTGAGTGTGAATTCAACATAGCTGATCCGTTCCTTGTGTCCCTTGAAATTATTAAATATTTTACATTGAAATCGGTTTCTAAAAACTTGAAGGAAAGTGAATATTAATAGTTATTAAAAATAAAACAGCTTGCAAACGAAGTGTTCAATAATTAAAACCTTTTTTTAGATTAATGAGGTTAAATTCGACAACCTTGATCAGACAAAGGTTTAAAGGGTACCGTTGTGAATCGGACATGCAACTCTAGAAATGAAGGGTCACTTGAAACTACGACTGCAGTCCCTTTACCATAAAAAAGCGTCCTAATGTTGAAGTCCCAGATTTCAGAATTATGTAGAGCTTAAGATTTATCATTACATAAGTAGGCCATTTAACATCACTATTAACCTGTTTTTATTCTTTTAGACAATTTTTAAAAATGAGTTCTATTTTAGGAAAATTTGTAACAAACGCACATATTGTAATAATGTGACTGACTCTGTATTTGGTCGCTGTTAAAATTTCATCAAATCTCAACGGACGAGACTAAATTTTATAATTGTTCGCCATTTTACTAATTCTTCTGTGATATTCCGCACAAACGAAGACGATCGACCAGTTCTTAATGGAATTCAAGTTTTTTTTATTTGCATCAGAATTCTTTTTTACATTTTCTGGGCAGATTTTTTCCCCTCTCTTCGTTTTTTTAAAATAAAACAAGGTTAATCGCCTTTTTTCTTTCGCTTGTTTTTCTACCCTTCGCACTCATGCTTAATCAAAAAATTACATTTTTACATTAAAGATGTATACAATATACACATATTTTAAAGTTATGTAAAGATATTTTTTTAACTTGTTAAATATATTCTTGAATCTCTATTATTATTTTTTTCAATTTTACGTAATTATTATTATAGAAAATATATGAATCTGTAAAAATCCGACCTTGGGACTTGGATTTCGAACGGTTGTTAATTCTGCATGCAAGATGAATATATTTTATTTTTATATTTCCTATGGGTTAATATAGTTTATTTTATAAATAATCGTAAATAATACTGAAAAGTGACAATCGCAGAATATGCTCTTGGGTTGGGTTTTCTCCATATATTCTCCGGGTACCAAGCAAAGCTAGTCCTGTCTCCGGGTACCAAGCTAAGCCAGTCCTGTCTCTGACCTGAATGTATAGATCTTAATTTTCCTTTAGTCATGTCATCGAGATCTTACACATAGAGCATGCACCATCGAGATTTTATCTTAGATCATGCTACATCTACTACAACTAAACAGGGGGTGGGGAGGGTGTTAGTTAAAAACATCAAATTTTTCACTCTTTCCTCAAACAAATCTTCTTCCACTCCACCCAGAGGTATCCAGGTCTGCAGTACTGTTTATAGGTAGAGGGCGCCACTCCTGCGCTCTTCACGTCGGCGCATTTGTCAGAGTCATCTAGCGGAAAACATTGAACTAATCCTCCCTCTTCTTTTGGAACTATACAACAGCTGAAATCTGAAATATATTTCCTTATTATTATCATTTTTTCATTTATACAAAGCTGAAAACTTTAGATAACGAAAACCTTAATCCTAATCGCTTAATCTGAATATCCACTGTGGAAACTTTTATTTTTTTGGTTAAATAAGAGGAGATCAAGCGTTGATCTCGATATCCACAATTCTAAAGTTTTCAGCTCAAGTCTTAAAGATTTGAAAGCATGTAAGCCTCTAGATTGTAGAAATTTTAGTAAATAATTCTTCTAAAATTTGTTTTTTTATAATGCTGCAATAGATTTTAAGACGATCCATGTCGTTCTCTACTTGTCATGTATCGTGGGACACCCTGTATAGATACTTCTCTACTTCTCATGTATTGTGGGACAACCTGTATAGAACTTCTCTACTGGTCATGTTTATTAAGATACCTTGTATAGATACTTCTCTACTTGTCATGTATCGTGGGATACCATTTATAGATACTTCTCTTGTCATGTTTTGTGGGACAACCTGTATAGATACTTCTCTACTTGTCATGTATTGTGGGACACCCTGTATAGATACTTCTCTACTTGTCATGTATCGTGGGACACCCTGTATAGATACTTCTCTACTTGTCATGTATCGTGGGACACCCTGTATAGATACTTCTCTACTTGTCATGTATCGTGGGACACCTTGTATAGATACTTCTCTACTGGTCATGTTTATAAGACACCTTGTATAGATACTTCTCTACTTGTCATGTATCGTGGGACACCCTGTATAGATACTTCTCTTGTCATGTTTTGTGGGACACCCTAAAAATACTTCTCATGTTTTGTGGGACACCCTGTATAGATACTTCTCTTGTCATGTTTTGTGGGACACCCTGTATAGATACTTCTCTTGTCATGTTTTGTGGGACACCCTTCTTAGGTACTTCTCTACTGGTCATGTTTATTGAGGCACCCTTTATAGATACTTCTCTACTGGTCATTTTTATTGAGACACCTTGTATATATATACTTCTCTACTTGTCATGTTTATTAAGACACCCTGTATAGGTACTTCTCTACTGGTCATGTTTATTGAGGCACCCTTTATAGATACTTCTCTACTGGTTATGTTTATTAAGACACCTTGTATAGATACTTCTCTACTTGTCATGTTTATTAAGACACCCTGTATAGATACTTCTCTACTGGTCAAGTTTATTGAGACACCTTGTATATATATACTTCTCTACTTGTCATGTTTATTGAGGCACCCTGTATAGATACTTCTCTTCTTGTCATGTTTATAGAGACACCCTGTACAGATACTTCTCTTCTTGTCATATCAAAGTGAGACACCCTGTATAGATGTAAAGGAGTTCAAATTATCTTAGATCTTTAAAAGATATTCAATATCAAAGGGTGCAACATTTTGATAGATCTCCAATAACTGTGCTAGCTTTTTATTCTGTAGCTTTATAAATGACTGGCTACATTTACAGAGGGGGTAAGGGGGATAGTGCCCCCCCCCCCCAGAATTTAGATATCTTGATTTACATCCCTAATATGATTTTAAACCCCTACTGTAATTGCAAGGTCCTGAATTCAATGTCTAAAATGATGCAATTCTATAAATAAATTTGACAACTTGCTTCTTCTTCTCTCGATAGAATAATATTCCATCAGGAGAGCGTTTTAAATGTCGATAGAATAATATTCCATCAGGAGAGCGTTATAAATGTCTATTTTTCTTAAGTTTTGTTTTTTAACGTTTAGTAAGACGCCCCTGTTCAAATATAAGATGATTGTGATTATATTTTTTACGAATTTCTTTTCCCGTCATTAGAACTTAGAACTTAAACTAGTTCAATGTACATTAGACATAGCAATTGTACAGTGTAAATAGACCCATTTCACGTAAATAGTGCTATAAGCTAAGTTACTAGTAACAATATTTGCTTTGTAACAACATCAAAACGCTTAACTATTGCTATAATGTCGTCTTTCTATTCCATTGTTTTCTGTTTATTACTGTATTACGATCGAAAATCTTATTTTCGTTTTTTGATTGATTTAATAAGAGGTAAATAACAAAATTGATCAAAGTGATTTTAAAAAGTTCTGAAAGTTTTTTCTTTTCAACGTTAACTAGTGATCCTACATTACTCGATTGCCTTAATCAATTCACAATGATACCCTTTTCATATTAACCCAAATCTGGACTTCAAATGAATAACTAAAATAATTAATTCCAAGTTTTCGTGGATTTCAGCAAAACCAAATTTGTAAGTTTTCGATATTTATGCAATCGCTTCGCCGATTTTCGATTTTTTTACAATCGTTTCGCAGATTTTCGAAATTTAAGCAATTGTTTCGCAGATTAAGTATTTAAAGGGCGCTGCTGCTACTTTTACATCAAAAGAACAAATTTATGCGTTAAAAAAACTTATCATGTGAAGTAATAAAGAATTAATAATGAATGTATTGTATTACCCCAAATATCATCTAATTCTAGCTGTAAATTAAAGCCCTAAATAACTATTGTTTCTCTGTGAAACTGTTCCAGGAACTAAAAATCTTATTTCTATGATTTGTCAAGTGTTTTTTCCGTTGTTTATTTTGTTCTGTCTAATAGACCACCCAGTATAAAAGGACCCTTTGTTTTAGATTATTTAGATTAAGAAAAAGATTTCAGGGATGAGTACGGACTCTCCCCCCCCCCTCACCTTTAGGGGGGGGGGGTGGTTTGTGGGCCTCTTCTTCATGGCTCCTTTATTGTACGTTCTGATTAACATTAAAGAAACAGGCGTAATTTCATAAGATATCGATCTTTTTCTAGGTAAAAATTGATTATTTTCGATCGTGTTGTTACGACCAATCAAAATTAGTTTTTTTCAAGATAGAAAAACCACAGTATTTTCCTCATTTTAACTCATTTAAAGGTTCTATGTAGATATAGGCTCATTTAAAGTTTCCGTCCCTTGAGTTTAATGTATTTGAATTGTAAATAGCTTGGTTTTGAGATTCTGAGTTGTGTGGGTAGATTTTAATAGCGAAAATTTAGTTTCCCGGTAAAATCGTTCAAGTGCGGGTAACCGGTGGAAGTAACTTTTTATCTGGGCAGCACTGTGTTCCAAAGTTACGAGCTGTTCCACGAAACATGACAGTAGCAAGACGTCCTGAACGTCGTCTTTGATTCTTTTATATAATTTGTTGCTTTTATTTGTCGACCTAATTTTATAAGTAAAATTCTAGAGATAATAATCACAAAATACCCCTAGACCTGGCATTTCTAAAATGTGGTCTGCCTTTTTTGTTCTTTCAATATTACCTGAGATATGAAGAATTTTGTTCAGATTTTGACAATTTAGGTTTTATTTAATTTATTAAAATTGAAATCTATACGAAATTCTCAATATAATATAATATTGACAGCACAAAAAAGACGGACCCCATTTTGGAAATCCCAGAACTAGGAGAATATTTTGGTTACTGTTTCAAGAATCATTCATGTGAAAGAAGGTTGACGATTGGATGTCTCAAATAAATGCACAGATCGTCTTGCTACTGTCATGTTTCGTGGGACACCCTGTAGTAAATTTTATTTAAGTTTCTTTCTTTATTTTTCTCTAGATCTCAATGTTGGATGTTTGTTTACAAACAACTGCTGAACTAAAATAAAGCCAAAACATTTGAAATAAGAGTTTTAATTTTTTTCCAAAATCCATTTCAATCTTAAAAGAATTTTCGGAATAACACTTTTTTAGGATTTTAAAAACTTAAAATGGTTTTCGAATTTTTCAGCTTTCATTTTTTTTAAGAAAGCTCTTCAATTCATTGTTTTTTTGTTTGTTTAAATAATAAATACTTTAAAATTATTCTGTAATCTTGTAATAGTACTTTCAAATGTGTGAATTAAGATAAATATTCAAAATTTATTGTTTTATCATCTTGAGTGAAAGATAATCGAGTGCATTGCAAGAAAGAATTAATTCAAAATTCATTAAATTAAAAATTCTTATTTATATGATACAATTTAAAAAAAAATAGTTAATCGTTTTCTGAAAGTACCATCTCTTCATTTATGTGAAAGATAGTTCCATTGCTTCTGTAGCAAGAAATCCGCAAATCACTTTTACAAGGAAACCGCAATTGAAATAATTAGATTTTTAAAGAGAAATCATGGATATCTCATTCAGTTTATTTTCACCCTCTATGTTTAAATTTGTCTTGTGTCCAATAAACATCTGACCGGTGGAACCGACTGCGCCAAACATGTCGCAACTCACATGATCCCAGGGAAGGTTAATTGAAAAGTTTTGCCTTTGAAAAAAGTCAACGTTTACTGTGTGAATCGTACAAGCCACTCTGCAAATGGAGGGTTACTTAAAATTCCTACTTAAGTCCTTTTTTTTAATTCGTTTGATTTTCGTTAAAACTTATTTGTTTTACCTTTATTAAGTTTGCATTGATACGAATTTCTGTCCCACTGGAATCCCTCCGGGCACTTATTCTCTAAACACTCCACGTCACTCTCCGAACAAATCTCGTCAAAATATCCAAACTCAGGTCTGTTCTGCAGATCATGAACAACACTCACGATAAGAACCGTTCCCGCCGTTACAAAGATCGCCGCTATGGCAATGATCGTTGCCCGGCGCCGACGTCGAAACCGGTTGCCCTCCGCTTCGACGTCTACAATGTCGTTGCCCGTTGAGGACAATAGGCCCGACTCGACACTGAGGGCGGTTATGTATTGGGGGCGGGATTGCCCGCCTCCTGAGGTTGCAAACATCATTTTAGAATCGGCGGGTGTTGTTGGAGACGAAATTTTGACTCTTTCAAATTTTTCTGAAATGGAAATTATTTATTGAACATTTTTTTTATTCCGAAGTTTGTAACCCACCCCCTTCAAACAAAATAAATATTTGAAACAATAAAAAAAAACTAATTTTTGTATATGCAAAACATTTTCTCAGAATAATTGATTAGCAATTTGTTTTATCTGATGAAAAACTATATTCAATAAGGAATTGTTACATTGTAGTTATAATATTCAAATTCCAATAACAATGGTACCCTTAGAAACTTTGGCTGGTCAAGAATGAAAGAGGTAATCATGTTCAACTCTTAAAGGGACTCTTAGCGTATTTTTAAATGACTCTCAACATGCAAAGATACATGGCAACGCCCTATTCAGTACGGTACTCATTAAGAATGGTTAATTCTGATCATTTCTCATATGTTTCCCAGTAGAAGAAATGCGCAATTAATTTACCAAACGTGGATATCTAATTCATACTTGATCAGACTAAACTTTCAAATTTAACATTTTAAATCGGGCATTGCCATCTTTGCATTGAGGGTCACATAGAACTACGCTTAAGTCTCTAGAAGTTAATTCTATACGGATACCAGGCTTTTAGGGCGCGTCGCGCCCATCTTTTTTTAAATTGTGAACATTTTCTTTTTGTAAAATAAAAATCATGGATTTTTCAAATTTTCTAAAATCGAATTTTGTTAGATCAGAAGTAGATTTTTGAAAATTCGATCATCCAAAACTTTCCCTAGGGTCACGTTAGTTCCCACAACAAAAAATTGTGCCCGATCGGTTCAGCCGTTTTGATGTTTATTGGATACAAACAGACAGACAAGCCAAGTATATATATAGATACTGGAAATCTCCAACCAAGGCACGATACAGAAATACTTCAGCGTCTTATACCGTTTGAAAGTTGAAGCCACAGATTTAAAATACAAAATGGTAACCCTCTGATCTAATAATATTAATAGGTTTATGTATAGTGTATAATGTTAGCTCTCTGATCTAATAATATTAATAGGTTTATGTATAGTGTATAATGTTAGCTCTCTGATCTAATAATATTAATAGGTTTANATATATATATATATATACAATATACAATGTTTGCTTTAAACATGTCAGTAAAATGAAATTCAGGGATTTAAGAAGTCAATAAATTGTGGAATTTGTTAGAGATTAAGTAGAAATTAACAGTGTATCGAGGCTTTGCACATTTTTTGGATTTAATTTTTGAATAATTGAGAACAATGTTTAATTCATAAATGTTCGAAATTTGTGCAGTTTTTCTAGTGAATTCTTTGGGATGAGTCACATACTCAAAGATGCATCGTAAATTCCGTAATTTTCGTTTTTGACTTTTGTTTTCAATTTGAGTTTACAGATTTTCGTAAAATCCGAAGTTTTCAACTTAGAAAGATGTATTATTTCATTTTAGAAATCCAAAATACTGTCATAAAAATTTGAAAATTCGTAAATTTATTGCCACAAACTCTAATTTTCTATTTCCTAAATCTTTGCAGCCCAATGTCGAAGACTATTGATATTCAAAAGCTATAAACTCTGAACAATTTTTATATGGCCCCCAAAGGAAGGGGGAGGGAGGTTAATTCAAACATATAATCAAAAAATAATATTAAAATCATAAGAACCTTTTTTGGAACCTCTAACTTTGAGATTTTTTCAAAATGGCGATTTTTTTATTTATGAAAAATTTAATCTGATTTAAAAAATATTTGAATATTGTGATTTTTGTTTTTTTTTTAACATTTTTTGGCTTGTTTACCGGATGTCGACAATATCTTATGACAGATAAATATAGGATTTTATGTTTGACTACTTAATTCCTTAACAAATTATTCACTACAGACATTTTTGTATTTCCCCAAAATATATTTTAAAATCTTCCAAACAAATTTTACAAAAGTTTTAGGATGGAATAAAAACAATGCTCTTTAAGTATTTCTAACAACTTTTTCTTCTTTCACTTTATACATTTTTTTTCGTTTTTTTTCGGTTAAATTGTGTTAATGTCAGAATGTTTGATTTTAGTGCATACAACATTGTAAGTTATTATTCATCAACATTAACATGTAATTCCCCTAAACAAATTCTATTTATTATATGTCAAAAACGACTTTTGTAGATCATAAAATGACATTTCTCCAATTTCTAAGTGTAATTTAGTAAAAGTCGCGTTCATTAATTGTTAAAAAATTGAAAGTCTTAACAAAAATTACGCGAAATTTTTAAGTTTCTAATTTTAGATTTCATGTTCTAAAAGTTGCATCCTTTCATAGTTTAGACACATGTTTACTTTTTCAAATGTAAACATAAACTGAAACCTGGACCTTTCAGGGAGGATGCGATCACGGAGCGATGTTGCCAAAATAAATTTAGAAAATACTTTAAATGCCGGCTGTGAAGGATAAAATTTATATTCTTGAACATTTTTATTTAATTTCATTTCTCAATAGGTTTTAAGAGGAGCTTTTTAGCTATCTTTCTGGTAATAATTTTAGACTTTTGCTACAGCTTTCGTACATTATGAAAAAATATCGATATTTTTTAATTCTGTTCATACATTTTTGCGCAGTATATTTGATATTATCAGTCACTTAGTTTTAATCCTTCAATGAGAAATATCTATTTTCAACAGAGTTGGGTTCATGAAGAGAATAGATTATATATTAGAGTGGAATTTAAACAATCCCTTGGTATGAATTTTGTCAGTCCCTTTCAGCCGGTCAGTACAAAAGAGAATAGAATATATATTAGAGGGGTTTTTAGAGAATCTCTCGTTATGAATTTTTTCAGTCTCTTTCAGCCGGAAAGGTAGTTCAAAGTGTACAAATCATGTAAATGTTCCCAAATTATATGCAGTAGAGTACATTAATACAGTATGTTCCCTAGACTATCCATTTCAATTTCGAATTTTTTAAAGCTGTTAAATAATCTTTATAAAATGATTTAGGTGAATAAAGTGAAGTGAAAGGCATAGAGTCTATGTGAAATGATCATTGGTCAATTTTCTTTTAATATTAATTTTAGATTTTCTATAAAATGATGTTCCAGGGCCCAAAAGCTGTTATATAGCGCAAATATGTGAAGTACACCTGCAGTATGGAAACAGTACAACAAAATGGCCGTTTTAAACTTTTTCTAGTAAATTCCACTCTAATATATATATTCTATTCTCTTTGGGTATTGTATTTGGTGGATTTTCAGGATCGAAAAGTTGGAATTAGGAGATTCTCGGATTGGATTAAAATAAGATTTAACAGTAAGACAAACTCTCCACTAAAACCAACCAAGGACGGTTTTATTTTCATCGGGCCTAACTCATTAAGTCGAGTCTTAAAGCCGGCTTTTGTCAATCACGTGACACAAACTGTCGTCAGCTGATTCAGAAGCTGGGTCTAAGATTGAGCAAAGAACCTGGGTCTAAGGAATTAAGAATTACGAAGCTTTTAAATCGCGGGCTCTGAATCATTTTGAGGCAAATGTTTCTAATTCTGATCATATACTTCTTGGCGTTTAATGAACACAAACAGGCGCGTACACAGGATTTTAGCCAGGGGGGGGCGAGATTTCGCGCGAAGCGAGAAAAAATTTTTTTGCCCCCCCCTGGAATTGTTTTGTTCAAAAAGTCAATTAACACCATAAAAATACACCAAAAAGACTACATTTTTGAGTGTTACTAACCTTATAGAGTCTAAAATTTATACTAAAATTTATTCCTTTGCTCGAAAAACTAACTTTAACTTTTTAACTTTATAAATTTATAAATTTATCACTTAACTCCATCACAGCTAACTAAATCAATAATCACAGCA